AGTGAGACTCCGTTTCAAAAAAATATATATATGTTTTGGGGTAAAATACTTTGATCTCCTTTAGGACCTGCTGTCTGTCATGAGATGTTATACAAGTCAAGTTGGAATCTGGTATCTTATTGCTATAAAGAGTCTGTTTTGTCAGTCTTAAAATCTCTGTTTTAATGTTAATGCTGGTCAGTTGGGTCTAAACTCCAAAGAAAGGAAGGTATATAATGAGACCTTCCTCCCCTCTTCCTGACATGGCCTGAGCTTCTGACCACCCCTCTTCCTGTCACGGCCTGAACTTTTTCAGGCTTTTTGGGATCCCCTTTGCTGAGGGGGTCCATTCAGTTGGTTGGGGAGATTAGAATTTTATTTTTGGTTTATAGCAGGAAATTCAAAAACAAAAACCTCCAACCTATTCTAACTATGGAACATCATGCAGCAGTTAAAGTTAATAAGGTAAATTTGTATAAACTGTTGAGAGGAAAAACTTCTCTACCAATTTAGGTCCAATTGGCAAGTGGCCTGTGAATTAACTGACAATAGACAGATTAACAGGAGAAAAACGTATGCGAAGGTACCTTAAAGAGAGTAGCTCCCTGAATACCTAGAGGTTAAAAAAAATCATAATGCCATAAAAAAGAATAAAATCATATCCTTTGCAGCAACATGGATGCAGCTGGAGGCATTATCCGAAGTGAATTAATGTGAGAACAGAAAACCAAATACCAAGTTACAAGTGGGAGCTAAACGGTAGACACTTACAGACATAAAGATGGCAACAGCTACTAGGGACTACTGGGGTTGAAAGACTATTGGGTGCTATGTTCACTATCTGAGTGACAGGATCATTCACATGCCAAACATAAGCATCACGCAATATACCCATGTAACAAACCTGCACATGTACCCCTAAATCTAAAAAAAAAAAGTTGAAATCGAGATATATATATATATATATAACAGCTTACTACAGGTGGGGGAATTTAGGGCTTCAAATGATGGGAAGTTTTGTTGGGGTTGTTTATACCTTTTCTGCAGGCGGAATATCCCAGTGCCCAAGGTCAATGCCTCTCTGACTACAGACCTCCTGGGAAGGGGAGGGTTGGGGCAGATGATGCTAGTAAAGCTCTGCTTTAGTCAGATGTGGGAAGTTCAGCTAAGATTTCTTTCTGTATCTTCTGTAGCTCAAATGTTTCTACTCTGAAGTATTCTGTGTACCAGACTGGTGGGTTGCCGGTCTCCAGTAGTAACACAAAAGTCTCAAGACATATTGCTAGGGCAAAAGGCAATCTGCAGGACAATACATAATGACTGCACTTATGTTACAGAAATACAGAAAACTACACTATACATATGGACATATATGCAAATAGGTAAATATTACCAAAAAAAAAAACCCCAACAACAACAACTAGAGGGAGACACAAAGTGACAACAGAGGTTGGGAAGTGGAGGAGAAACCTAGGATTGATAGTATTGGTCAAAGGAGATTTTAAGTATAAATTATAAATTAAATGCATCTCGAGGATAATAAATACGTATATTATTTGTGTAAAGTGAAATCAAAATAACTCCTTGAAGACAATGTCCATAAGCTTCCACCTAAAAGATCAAGAAAATGGTCAGGATTCTGAGCTCCAGAGGTGAAGGCACCTTCTTTCTTTCTGAGACAGGGTCTTGCTGTGTCACCTAGACTGGAATGCAGTGGTGTGAACATGGCTCCTGATAGCCAAGACCTCCTGGGCTCAAGCAATCCTCCTGCCTCAGCCTCCCGTGTACCTGGGACCTTAGGTACATGCCACCACACCTAGCTAATTTTTTAAAAATTGTTTGTAGAGATGGGGGTCTTACTTTATTGCCCAGGCTGGTCCTGAACTCCTGCGCTCAAGTGATTCTCCTGCCTTAGCCTCTCAAAGTGCTGGGATTACAGGTGTGAGTCACCACACCTGGTCAGAGTCACTTTCTTATGCCTGGATTACAACTCTCCCTTCTCCAGTGGGCCTTGTAGACAGCCCTACACTTCTTCCCCAGGGCACTCTAGACTCTTTGTGGGGTATCAGGCCAGATTAGGACCCTTAAAAAACCCCTGAAAAGATTACGATTCTCCTCCTTCCTTTGCATTTATAATTCAAATTAAAATTCTGTGAAGTAAAGAAACCCTACAAAGTTCTGATTTTTCCCATAATAACTTTGGTAATCTTTGGATATCTTAAAAATGTAGGCCGGGTGTGGTGGATCATGGCTGTAATCCCAGCACTTTGGGAGGCCAAGGTGGGTGGATCATGGGGTCAAGAGATTGAGATCATCTGGCCAACATGGTGAAACCCTGTGTCTACTAAAAAGTATAAAAATTAGCTGGGCATGGTGGCGCACGCCTGTAGTCCCAGCTACTCAGGAGGATGAGGAAGGAGAATTGCTTGAACCCGGGAGGTGGAGGCTGCAGTGAGCTGAGATCATGCCACTGCACTCTAGCCTGGTGGCAGAGCAAGACTCTGTATCAAAAAAATTTAAAAAATAAAAATAAAAAAGGAAAAGAAAATGTATTAAGTTTCTCAGACATTTTTGGGTTACCTGGAGACACATGCCTACTTCTGACTTACTGGGTAATTTAGCACCTGGCACTGAAAGGGTAAAAATGGAACCAGCAATTTTCAGTCATTCCCTAAAGAGAAGTCAAAGGACAAGATAAAGAAATGGAAGGACGAATTTAAGCACGACTAGCTTTTTCAAACCAGCATCTTAACAACCATACAAACAATTAACTGGCTAAACTTCTAGGTGCAAAACTAGAGATGGCATTTGGGCTATAAAGAATGGCACAGGCTGTGGTTACCCCAGTAACCACTTTCTCCCAGGACTCACTCAAGGCAATAGGGACTTGCTTGGTCTTGCCCCTTCTGTTATGATTGCAGGGCTGGTTGCCCAAAAGGGCTGCAAGTTCATCCTCCCAGGGATGAGTCTCCAGTGAGAGCCCTCAAGCTCTTCAGGGACCTTCAGAGCCAAATTTCTCTAGCATTTTGTTCAACTGTTCCCCATGCATACAGAGACAAGGAGGAGTTTTGCATTATCCTTTCCCAGTTATTGAAATTACATCTATAACACTGATGAAGAGAAGGGTCAGTTTTTTTCTACCTGTCTCAGGGAACTGGGTGGGCCTGATAACTCCCCACTAGATGCTCCTGGCCCCAGATTATCTGGTTATTTTTAAACTTCCTGATATTAGCAGAAAAGACTTTTCCCTTAATTCCCTATAAATGATATCTGAAGTGGTGGTATACCACTCAGCAAATGGCTGTATCCACAGTTTCAATGGTTCATAAAGTAACTTATGAAGTGACTTGTTTTCTTTCAGCTCAAAGGAGGTCTGGGGAAAGACCTTTGCACCATTCATTCATTCCAGATGGGGTCTCACCATGTTGACGAGGATGGTCTTGAACTCCTGGGCTCAAGGATCCTCCTGCCGCAGCCTCCTGAGTAGCTAGGATTACAGGCATGGTGGTGAAAGGCACTTTCTTGGTCTGTGTGGTCTGCCTGCACCCAGATGATCTGGACCCTCACCTCTATTCCCTGGCCAGCCAGTCCAGGTCAGCCTGGGGTTCCAGGAAAAAATGAAATGTTACATGGCCTACTTGCCTTTTTCTGCTATTCATAGGCTGATATTGGTTCATGGTAAATATAAACCCACTGGGCAAGTTCATTTTTGCACTGAGTAACAACTTTCACTGAACTCTGTTTTAAGGGAGAGATTTTTTTCCACGCCTGGGTAATTGTAGAGACAGGATTTTGCCATGTTGTCCAGATGGTCTTGAACTCCTGAACTCAAATGACTCACCTATCTCAGGCTCCCAAAGTGCTGGAATTACAGGCGTGGGAGGGATTCTTTTTTCTTTAAATTGAGACAAGGTCTCACCGTCTTGCCCAGGATGGTTTTGAACTCCTGGACTCAAGCAATCCTCCCATCTCAGCCTCCTGAGTAGCTGAAATTACAGCTATGTGCTACCTTACCCAGCAAATTTTTCAAAATTTTTTGTAGAGACAGGGTCTTGCTATGTTGCCCAGACTGGTTTCTACTCTTGGGCTCAAGTGTTCCTCCTGCTTCAGCCTCCTGAAGTGCTGGGTTACAGGTGTGAGCCACTGTACTGGGCCAGAATTTATTATTATTATTTTTAAAGAACCTTCATTTCCTCTGGCAATCTGCTTGGGAACATGCACATGAGTCTCATGGGTGAACAAGAAAACATTTCCTTTTGTGTTCTCTGCTTTCCCTTCCCTTTCCAGAATCTAGGCCCTGGCGATTCTCTTCAGGAGGCAGGAAGGCAATTCTCTGAAGAACAACAGCCATCACCTCCCTTCCCAGTTGAGCCAGAAAGGACCCCACAGCTCTGCCATGGATGCTACAGAAAATGCCTCTGGCCTTGACTCCCCAGGGAGGGAGTAAGCCTTGGGGTTCGTTCAGTTGCACAGTTCCAAATCTGTTAGCAGCCACTGGTTCTCTTACTCCAGCTATGTTTAGCTTTGTTTGATCATCTTCCATGGGAACATAACTGCATTAGTGTTCCTGTTTTCAGTTCTCCATTTCAAAAATTTTTATTTATTGGCTAGGCACAGTGGCTCATGACTGTAACCCCAGCACTTTGAGAGGCAGAGGTGGGTTGATCACCTGAGTCAGGACTTTGAGAACCAGCTTGACCAACAAGGTGAAACCCCATTTTATTTTTTTAAAAAATTATTTATTTATTTAATTTTTGAGAAAGAATCTTGCTCTGTTACCCAGGATGGAGTGCAGTGGCACAAACATGGCCTTACTGTAGCCTTGACCTCCAAGCTCAGCCTCCTGAGCAGTTGGGACCATAGGCACACACTACCATGCCTGGCTAATTTTTTTAACAGTCGTAGAGACAGGGTCTCCCTATGTTGCCCAGGCTGGTCTTGAACTCCTGAGCTCAACCAATCCTTCTGCCTTGGCCTCCCAAAGTGCTGGGATTACAGGCGTGAGCTACTGTACCCCAGTATCATTTTTCCATTTATAACAACTTGTCACCAAGAACCCAAACCCCATGCTTGGGTCAATGGTTGTCCAGCTAGGATGAGGATAATATGCTGGCTACCTGGGTACTGTGGACACCCCAGAAGCCCCATGTGGCAGCCAACTCACTCATTTTACACAGTGCACCCAGAGAAGGGTGGCACTGAGTGGAAAACAAGGCCAAGGCCATCACAAACAGCATCAGGCTCCACAAAGAGAGGCAGCAACCTGAAGCACAGAGACAGGTCTAACATGGATGCAGGATCCAAGTGACATAGGGCCTAGTCCTGGGTCACATCGGCATACAAAATTCCTCCCTACAGCAATTGTCACTGTTTAAACACATGAGCAAGGACACAGATTTTTTAATAAGTACTTATTATTCTTTTGAAAGGTCTGAAAGGTAGAGCATAGAGATGGAAGACAGCAGACCTGAAATTCCTTCTTGATCATGGCCTTGTACAAATCCTCTGCCCTGTCTGTCCAGATGTTTCCTCATTTTTGACAAGATGCTAAAGCTTCCACATCAGTCATTCTGAGATCCATGCCAATTCTTAGCCATGATTCTAAAAACAGCCAGAATAGAAATTATATAAAATCCTCATATTTATGCTTACTTCTTTAATATAAAAACAGTATAATAACAGCATGAAGGAAATAATTTAACTCTTTTAATTTTTCAGTCTAAAATTCTTTTAAACTAATAGTTTCATCTTGTTCCACATGAGTAATCAAATTCATATTTTCCCCCTTGCCATCTCTCCCCCACCTGCATCTTGTGAATCAATAGAAGTTGCAACCCTAACATCAGCAAGGGTTTTAACTTCTATTGATTGATGTAATACTAGGGCGATATAAGCAGGCAGTAAAATATGGGCATTTACATCATTTATTCACCAAGAAATGTAATTAGGCATTTTCTTTCATTATATTTTAAAATTTTATGTAGAGACAGGGTTTCATGTTGTCCCCCAAGCTAGAGTGCAGTGGGTGTGACCATTACCTACTGCAGCCCAAACTCCTGGGCTCAAGAGATCTTCCCACCTCAGCACCACCATGCTTGTTTCTCTTTTACACGCTCTTGGCTGGGTACGGTGGCTCATGCCTGTCATCCTAGTACTTTGGGAGGCTGAGGCGGGTGGATCACCTAAGGTCAGGAGTTAGAGACCAGCCTGGCCAATATGGTAAAACCCTGTCTCTACTAAAAATACATAAATTAGCTGGGCGTGGTGGCACACACCTGTAGTCCCAGCTACTCGGGAGGCTGAGGGAGGAGAATCACTTGAATCCGGGAGGCAGAGGGTACAGTGAGCTGAGATTGCACCACTGTACTCCAGCATGGGCGACAGAGAGAGACTCCTTAAGAACAAAAAATCAAAAAACAAAAACCCCACAGAAAAAGATACTTACTGTACACTTGAGAAAACCCTATTTTCTAACATCTGTTTAGCATTTATTTCCCTTTAATTTCTACTTATATTGTTTTCCAAACGTTCACTCAGGTGTAAAAAATAACTTCAACAATTAATAGTTTGACAAGATGTCAGCTATTTAAGATACTCAATGTCATACTCTGCTTTTCACTGCCTTCTTGCATTTGGGGGAGAAGAGTTAAACCAAATTTTTTAAATATTGCAACTCCTTTTGAATCATTATTAAAATAAAACAGGGGGAAGAGAGGTTATATAAAGGAAAAAAGAGTATATAATGGAATTTAGGCCTTTGCTGATACAGCTGAGAAGAACTAGAGCTTCCAAGGAAAGCCTGACCTAAGAATGAGGCCACATCTTTTGTTTCTTATCAACACAACACTACCAAAGTCTGGAGTTACTTTCTGAGTTTATTCTGAAAGTTAACTTTTGGCTTGGCTGGACTGTTACTTTTTCTTCTCTTCTCTCATCTTTCTCTCTCTCTCTCTCTTCACTCCTCTTCTCTTCCTCTCTCTCTCTCTTCTTTTCCTTCTTTATAGAGATGGGGTCTTGTTGCCTGAATCCCCAAATTCCTGGGCTCAAGGTATCCTGCTACCTCAGCCTCCTGAGCAACTGGGACTGAGCTACTCCACCTGTGCTACTCCACCCTGCTAACTGGCTGGACCGTTTCTAAACAGACTGAATTTAGAGTGCTTATTGCTCAAACAGGGTTAATCTCTACAAGGTCCAGTTCAGGCTGAGATTTTTATTTTGTCCCTAATTTCCTGAAATCAAAACAAAGTGGTTTTAATCCAGGATTACAGAGGTAGAAAACCTAGTGGGGTCTCTGGGAACTTTATGCCCGTTTTCTCCATCCCGAGTCCTTTTTCCATGCTTTTATTGTTACCAGGGAGGTGTCCTGGTTTAATGCAAGTGTTCCTTACAAAACTTTCTCTAAGAACTTAGCCCCAGAATATACAAAAAATTATGACAGCCAATAGGCAAAACTGTGAGGGATTTAGTCTTATACTTTCTCAGAGGGAACATAAATTAATATAACCTTCCTGGAGAGGAAATTGGCAATGTTTATCAAAGTTAAAAACTGTGTACTCCACTTCCAGGAATTTATTCAAGGAATGTCAAATCTCCTAGTTCTAGCCTTCTTTCTGTACATTAGATTGACGGTCATTAACTGTTCTCAGTATGTTTCTCTATTTTCATAATAGACTATAATAAACATATATACTTTTGATAATAAAAAATTAAAAATCATCAATAAGTATAAAATATACCCTGCTAAAAACAACTTGCATTCAGAAATGCTTAGTGCTAACTGTGGGGACCACCTTCAACAGTTTTTTGGTTTTCTTTATAATTCTCAAAAACTCAGTATACATTAACTGTAGTTCTTCCAACAACCTAGGGTTTGGGAATACAATTTTATTTTATTTTATTTTTGAGACAGAGTTTCACTCTTGTTACCCAGGCTGGAGTGCAATGGCGTGATCTCGGCTCACCGCAACCTCTGCCTCCTGGGTTCAAGCAATTCTCATGCCTCAGCCTCCCGAGTAGCTGGGACTACAGGCACGCACCACCATGCCCAGCTAATTTTTGTATTTTTAGTAGAGATGGGGTTTCACTTTGTTGACCAGGGTCTCGATCTCTTGACCTCGTGATCCACCCGCCTCGGCCTCCCAAAGTGCTGGGATTACAGGTGTGAGCCACTGCACCCCGCCTAGGGAATACAATTTTAAAAGCCCATGGCTACTCTTGTGGCTATTCCTTTCATGGGATGACCTAAATAGAGCTTCAGACTATGACAATGATTTCCTCTCCTGGTGGCCCATGTACTGTTCCTTCACACTTCTACAGACTTTCATGGGCTATATGAGTCAATACTAAGGTGGTAGCTGTAGTTATTCCTTCTAAAGACATCTGGAATCCGATTATCTGATGAGATAGTCTGTTGCTCCATTTTACAGCAGGAAACCTTATCCAAATTCTCCTAGATTACACAGCAGCAGCCCTGGGAACAGAAGGCAAATTTTAAATAGGTTTTTTTTCCTGAACCACAGTCCTCTCCTGAATCTATTTACAGTACTGTTTCAAGATGTTTTCTGAAGGGTCCACAGGGGCTACACTGAAAACCTTCTGATCATTGTTTGCTAACTGTTGGGATGGTTTTAATCAGAGAAGAAGCCAATAATTTCAGCCTGGGTGCTGGAATTGCTCCTGAAATATCTCCAAACTTATTTAGGAGAAACTGCTTAATAGAAGAGGATTTATTCCTCCCCTGAAACAAACTCATTAGAACTGACATATACTGTAACCACAGACCAAGAGAACCACATCTTTTTTTTTTTTTTAAAGATGGGTTTCACCATGTTGGTTGGGCTGGTCTTGAACTCCCGACTTCAGGTAATCCGTCCGCCTTGGCCTCTAAAGTGCTTGGATTACAGGTGTGAACCACCACGCCTGGCCTGAGAACCACATTTTTTATACATATTACATCCGAAAGGCATCTGAGATTTTTTTTGAGATGGAGTCTTGCTGTGTCACCAGGCTGGAATGCAGTGGCGTGATCTCAGCTCACTGCAACTTCACCTCCTGGGTTCAAGCAATTCTCCTGCCTCAGCCTCCTGAGTAGCTGGGATTGCAGGCACGTGCTACCACACCCAGCAAATTTTTGTATTTTTAGTAGAAATGAGGTTTCACCATATTGGCTAAGACAGTCTCGATCTCTTGACCTCCTTATCTGCCCGCTGTGGCCTCCCAAAGTGCTGGGATTACAGGCATGAGCCACTGCACCCAGCAGGCATCTGAGATTTCTAAATATTATCAGTATCAGATGACAAAACCTGTTCAACAAGGACCATAGCCTCAATATGCTGGTTGACAGGCTCCTCCTTTGGAATATTCTTGGTGTTTAGTAACTTCTCTAATATAACCTAGTTTTTATTACACTAGTTTTTCTTAAATAAATTTTCTGAAAGGGGTTGTATTTTGATGACTCAAGTAAAATTTTCTGAGGTAAAAGACCTCACATCAGTCTCAGTAGACATCTGCCCCTTCCCACAATCCTGACTTGAGACAAGTGAAGGAAGCCCCTTTGTTGAGAGACCAATTTAGTTCTACCTTCCAGAAAAGCCTGAGTCTCTCAGTAGTTCAGATCAAACCAGATGCCCCAGATTTAAGCAGAACTAATCCAAATGCCCAAATCAGTTTCAGAAGCATCTCAGGTTTTAACTAGGTACATCTTTTCTAGGTTAGGTAGGTACCCCTATGTCTCAGCTAAGGACATGACACTTTGGTCGGCCCTATATTTGCATGACAAGAACTTTTTTTCCAGTTTAAAAATAATTCTTGCATGTTTTATCATGCATAAATTCCTAAAACTCCACCCAGGGACAAACAACTATATCAAAGATTTCCACTACTGATCCCTCTTGCCTCAATGAATCCTATGAATCCAAGTCTCTGGGGATAGGGCCCTGGAAACCTGCTTTTTTTATTTTTCTTTTTTATGTTTTAAATGTAAATGCTTTTCTTTTCTTTCTTTCTTTTTTTTTTAAGATGGAGTTTTGCTCTTGTTGTCCAGGCTGGAGTGCAATGGCACATCTCAGCTCACTGCAACCTCCGCCTCCCACATTCAAGTGTTCTGCCTCAGCTTCTCCAGTAGTTGGGATTACAGGCATGCTACCACACCCAGCTAATTCTTTATTTTTAGTAGAGACAGGGTTTCTCCAGGTTGGTCAGGCTGGTCTCAAACTCCCCATTTCAGGTGATCCACCCATCTTGGCCTCCCAAAGTGCTGGGATTATAGATGTGAGCCACTGCACTCGGCCTTTATCCCAGCACTTTGGGCTTTGGGAGGCTGAGGTGGGAGGATTGCTTGAGCCCAGGAGTTCCAGACCAGCCTGGTCAACATGGTAAAACCCCATCTCTACAAAAAATACAAAAATTACCTGAGTGTGGTGGCAAGCACCTATGGTCCTAGCTACTTGAGAGGCTGAGGTGGGAGGCTCACTTGAGCCCAGGGAGCTTGAGGCTGCAGTGAGCCATGACTGCACCACTGTACTCCAGCCTGGGCAACAGAGCAAGACTCTGAATTAAAAAAAAAAATGAACGCTTTTACAAGTACCCCTTATAACATTTATGCACACTGAAGGGTGAGAACCTCTGCACTGGAACAACTGTAAGAGTAAATGAAAGCTAGAGAAAAAGAAATTTCAGCAAGCAGAGGTGGGAAGATGGAATGCAAAGATTTAATACCAATGGGGGCACAAGAATTTTTCTAAAAAAGATCAGTGGAGAGGGATCATGAACACCTTGGTCTCAACAACTCCAACTCCTTCATACATCATCTTCAGTTAGGCTGGCTAATCAGTGTGGTGATACTTTCTTCTATCTCTGACAGCGTCTTCAGAATTTGGTTGACTTTGACCTCATCAAATTCCAAACACAGAAATTCAGATTCCTGGAAAACAGAAAAGGATGTTTTAGAGGGAAACCTCAAGACAGCCAAGGCTCTGCATCTGGCATGACCAAACTCTAAAAGACCCAGGGTCCCAACCCACCAAGCCCAGCTCAGACCTTAATATCGAAGTGATATTCTACCCAAGCAAAACATATCTATGTAATATCCTAAATAAAACTGCTTTATGATGGTGTTTCATGTTAATAAATAGGAGACATACAAATATCAGATATTCTCACTAGGTGGCATATGAGAAGCTCTTCTCTGTCATATCATTTGATCCTCTAATAATTTTTTTTTTTTTTTTGAGACGGAGTTTCGCTCTTGTTACCCAGGCTGGAGTGCAATGGCGCGATCTCGGCTCACCGCAACCTCCGCCTCCTGGGTTCAGGCAATTCTTCTGCTTCAGCCTCCTGAATAGCTGGGATTATAGGCACGCGCCACCATGCCCAGCTAATTTTTTGTATTTTTAGTAGAGACAGGGTTTCACCATGTTGACCAGGTTGGTCTCGATCTCTCGACCTTGTGATCCACCCGCCTCGGCCTCCCAAAGTGTTGGGATTACAGGCTTGAGCCACCGCGCCCGGCAGATCCTCTAATAATTTTTAAGGTAAGAACTTAAGCTTACCTTAAAATTGTGCTATTTTATAGCTGAGGACTCTGAAGCACAAAAAGGTTTAACTTGTATCAAAAATAAATATCATAAAAAGGCAGAATCATTCGGTTAACTCTCAGCTCTGGATGACTCAAAAGGCCATACTGTCTCCACACCACCTTGGATTACAACAATGAAAGGAAAATTTTGACTGACTGATGAACTCTGAGTTAGCCTGGGAATTGACCTAACTTGGATTTAGTGGTTATGCCAGAAATTGTGACAAGTTGCTTGGGAAACATGAGATAACCAGATCTTGAAATAGGAGCAAACATTCTGGGGTCCTTTTACTTGCTGCAAACCAATCCTCCTCACAACTCCCTTAAATACATTCCCTTCAATCACTGTTAGGATTGGTCAATCCATCCTAGGTTAGGTAGATGGTAGATATAAAAAAAATAAGATCTTTTTTCCCCCTGCTCTGTTCCCAGGCTGGAGTAGTAGTAGCATGACCATGGCTCACTGCAGCCTCAAACTCCTGGGCTAAAGCAATACTCCCACCTTAGCCTTCTGAGTAACTAGGGCTTCAGGTATCCACAACCAAGCCTAGCTAGTTAAAAATTTTTTTTTTTTTTTAAGAGACGGGGTTTGGGGAGGGGGCCTCACTATGTTGCCCAGTCTGAAGATCTCTGAGTTATGGTAGCAGAAATTTCATGTACACTGGACAAATTCTACATCTGCATTATCTTGAGAGACAAGGACAGATTTAATGTATCTAAGAGCAACTAAATTCAAGATTCTTAAGAACAATAATGAAGTAAAATTTTTGGGCAGTATGAATCTTTAGAGAGCATATAATCCAATTGCCTTTTCTAGATAATTAAATTAAGACCCAGGCATGTTAAATGATGTATCTAATTAATGTCCGTCTGTTGATGGCAGCCACTTAGTGTTCTTTTCTTTGTATTTTCCTCTCTAACTACTGAAAAGGATCAGAATATACCAGGCCCCAAATATGCCACTTTGGCATATAGCTTACTTTGAGGCAATTGAGACTCAACAGATGGAAAAAGAAGTCTTGGGGCCGGGCGCGGTGGCTCATGCTTGTAATCCAGCACTTTGGGAGGCTAAGGCAGGTGGATTACCTGAGGTCGGGAGTTTGAGACCAGCCTGACCAACATGGAGAAACTCTTGTCTCTACTAAAAATACAAAATTAGCCAGGCATGGTGCACAACTGTAATCCCACTACTCTCGAGGCTGAGGCAGGAGAACAGCTTGAACCCAGGAGGCAGAGGTTACAGTGAGCTGAGATGGTGCCATTGCACTCCAGCCTAGGCAACAACAGTGAAAGTCCATCTCAAAAAAAAAAAAAAAAAAAAAAAAAAAAAAAAAGTCTTGGAGTCTCTCTTATCTGACCAAGAGCAGAAACTTCTAAAAAATAAGAACTCCCAGGCCAGGCATGGTGGCTCATACCTGTAACCCCAGCACTTTGGGAGGCTGAGGCAGGAGAATCACTTGAGGCCAGGAGTTTAAGACCAGCCTGGGCAATAATAATGAAATCCTATCTCTTAAAAAAAATAAAAAGCCAAACATGGTGGTGTGCATCTGTAGTCCTAGCTACTTGGGAGGCTGAGGTGCAAGGACTGCTTGAACACAAGAGGTGGAGGCTACAGTGAGCCCAGAAACCTGGGTGAAACCTTGTCGAGAGAGAGAGAGAGAGAGAGAGAGAGAGAGAGAGAGAGAACTGCCATAAATCCCTCTCGGAGGAAGTTTTATGAGCATGAAAAAGATGGAAAGGTGACACCACGATGAGCCTAAACCAACCTTAGTAAAATAACCCTTATCTACCATTCATCATATATTTAATTCCCATAATTTACCACACTTAGAAGCCCCAAACTTTTTTCTTTTGCCTAGTTACCTCTCCACAATTTATCTTCCTTTATTAAAATGGTATACAAGCTTTGACGTCTAACAACATTAAAAATATTGACATTAATATAATCTGCATTTTTTTTTCTACTGTGCATCTTTTGTCAAGTTTAATTTTCAGGCCTTATACATGAACCTAAGAAAGCAGACAAAAAGCTTTTCCTCCCCTACAATACAATGGCATTTCCTACCCCCATCTCCAAAGTGGTAGTTAAAGGAAGACCAACAAGCTTCTTGAGAGGGAGGGTATCACTTTGCCATCAGCTAGAAGCACATTCAGAAGTTGATTTTGAAAAAGTATCTTTGCTGTTGCTAAGCTGCTGAGCTGAGTCTATACTGATGACAGTGAGCATTTCCCCAAGGAGAAATAAGTACAAAAGGAAAGAAAGAGAGATAGCATGGGGAGAAATGACAGATACAGGCGAGGGGACGGAAGGCAGAAAACCACACTGCCATGTGTGTACCTAGCAACAATCTTGCATGTTCTTCACATGTACCCCCAAACCTAAAATGCAATAAAAAAAAATTAAATTAAAAAAAGTAAATAAATTTAAAAAAAAAAAAAAAAAAAAAAAGAGTCTCTTGGATGAGAGGTTTCCAGAGAGGGAAGGCAGCTCTCCTTGCCTATAGGAGTCCTGTCCTCAAACATATATTTGGATAGGAGAGAAATGCAGTCTCATATGTGAGCTTAGAAACTTTGCCAAGTTTTCATTTAATCAAAGCAAAAACCAAGTTTAAACAAAGAATGAATACTAATAAGTGTTCAAGCTATAGGAGGGGTTATCTCCTTTTGGAAAGAAAAGCAAATTTAAGACAAACTAGACAGTTCAGTTGGCAACATTCAGAGTAGGTCTCAGATGCGAAAGCCTCCTGTTCTTTGTTCAGTTTTATTGAGACCTTAGCTTGACTTTCAAACAATTTTTGTGTTTTTGTAAGACAGAGTCTTGCTCTGTCACCCAGGCTGGAATGTAGCGGCCTGATTTCGCCTTAATGCAACCTCCACCTCCTGGGTTCAAGCGACTCTCTTACCTCAGCCTCCTGAGTAGCTGGGATTTACAGGTATGCACCACCACGCCTGGCTAATTTTTGTATTTTTTTTCAGTAGAGACAGGGTTTTGCCATGTTGGCCAGGCTGGTCTCGAACTCCTGATCTCAAGTGATCCGCCTGCCTTGGCCTTCCAAAGTGCTGGGGTTACAGGTGTGAGCCACTGCACCTGGCCTAAAACAATTTTTTAAATATCTGGCCTTGGACACAATGGTCTAGAAATTAGTGATTACCAGTAACTAATATATATATATTAAGGACATTGACAAAAAAAAAAAGATGTAGCCTATATTTCACTCAGTGAAAGTAAGTTACAGTAATAAATCAACTGGTTTTCTATTTATAGGCAAAGAGATTACCAGGAACAATATTAATAGAGATAGGAGCAACTGAGTAAGGCATGTTAACAAATAGCCAGGATATTTTCTGACTAAGGGATCATTAGTTTGCTGTAGGTTTCAGGATTCGTTTGTAATTGGACCTCTATGTATGAATGAATCTCAAGTTTATTTTTGAGGGATGCCAAATACTAGAGAGAAAGAAGTCCAAAATTAAACAGATATATTTTCCATCCTCATCTTCACCTTTCTCCCCTTGAAATAATGCACATTAACAGCCTTCAAAATCACACACACATGTAATCATACATGACACTTGAAATTTTTTACTTAAAACTGTATTACCAGGGCCTACTTTTGTCTAGTTATGCTATCAAAATATTTTATAAGGAATTCAAGAACCTTTAAACTGGGGCTTAACATAAAGGAATTTCTTCACATTTTGCATTTGGCTGGGGTACTCTAGGGAAAGTACATCTGATGCACTTGAAAATGTATTTAGAAATGCAGATGTGGGCTAGGGGTAGTGGCTCTTGCCTGTAATCCCAGTACTTTGGGAGGCTGAGGCAGGTGAATTGCTTGAGCCCAGGAGTTTGAGAACAGCCTGGGCAACATGGTGAAACCCCATCTCTACAAAAAATATAAAAATTAGCTGGGCATGGTGGCATGGGCCTGTGGTCCCAGCTACTTGGGAGGCTGAGGCAGGAGGATCACTTGAGCCTGGGAGATTGAGGCTGCAGTGAGCTGAGATCATGCCACTGATTCCAGCCTTGGCAATTGAGTAAGACCTTGTCTCAAAAAAAGAAGGGAAAGGAAAAGAAAAAAGAAAAGAAAGTAAGGTAGGCAGGCAGATGTGATGCTTGTCAAGAAGAAGGTACAAGAGCAATTTGAAACGTTTGTTACTTTTGTCTTGGTCATCTTGGGCTTAACTGGTAATAAAAATAAGAGATAAGACTAAAATTCCTGTATTTAAGTATCTGAGTCAAGAATCAAACTTGCTTCTTTTCAGTAAAGGATGCAGTATGGAGTCGGAATGTGGTTAGCAGAAAAGCAAGCACATCATTATCAAGAACATGCACTTTGTGATCC